TGGCGTTAATTTCATTACTTTATCCTCCCCCCCCTCCCGGGCGCTGGTGGCTGCCCTTATCCAAGCGGTGTTTTGGTTTTTTGCTGCCACAGCTGTCAGGTGATCAGTTGCTCTTTGTTCAGACAGCAGCTTGGAGAGCAAATGTAATCTTTTCCTATGCTTAATTGCCTCTCAGTGAGACCATTAATTGGCAGCCAGCAGGTTCCCTCCTCCAAGGGAGGATCTGCGTATGTGCTCATGGGTTCTGCGTGGAGCCAGCTGGAAAAGCTGGAGGGAGACTTGGGGTGGAGAAGGGGTTAACTTGTGTCCTAAAAAGAGTTACCTAAATTCCGTGAGGCCCTGGAAGGAACCCCAAGCTTTGCAGATGAAAGGGTCCCGCCAGCGCTAGGTTCCATCACCAGTTCACCACCGGCACGGCGCGCGGGGAGGGCCGGGCAGGTTGGCTGCTGGGAGCCCTGGCCATGCGGGGTGTCGGGCTGTCACTGGCTCCCTGCCGAGCCCCGGCACCCCGCTCATGCCTGGACAGAAGCGTGCGAGCCCCGGGGAGCTGCATGCCACCACTGCACCCTGCCTCCAGCACGGCCATGCCTGCACTGCAAGGGTCCCCAGGAAGGGCACCCGCCGGTGCTCGGCATGGGGTCCCACCAAGGTGGCCTCAGCCTGGGGAGCCGGGCAAGGCTTGCGTCTCCCACCTACCTTTCTCTTTTGCTTGGGAATGGATAGCCCAGAGTCTGTGACATGTCTAACAAAGCTGACATTAAAGACTCAGGTATGCAAGTGGGGTGTAGATCTGGGGGGAATCAGGGGTGGCCGTGGCCTCGCTGGGACGCAGCCCTTCGCTTCACCCCAAGGGAATCAGCCAACGCCCAGAAGTAAAATCGTTTGTCCCGGAGAAGCTGCACGGAGAGCTTTTCACCCCTGGGATTTATGGAGTATCCAGACAGAGCGACAGCAGCCGCGGGCTGTGAGCAGTGGGGTGCCGCAGGGGTGGGTTTGTGCCGTCGCACAGAAGGCAGAATTTCCGAATAACCAGAATGCGGGACATAAGGGAACCCCCCAGCCCCGAGTCAGCCCATGCTCTCCTCCGGTGCTCGCTGGCTTCCCTTAGCTTGTTACACTGGCAGTGAGCAGCTTCACGACTTCTTTTATGGTTGTGGGACTCTGCCTCCAGAAGTGTCTGGGCACCTGAAACAACCGAGGGGTCTGAGCAGATGGGAGAGCCGAGGAATCCAGGTGGAACTAGAGGAAAAGCTGTGTTTGCTTAGCCTCCATCGGTCCTTGTTCCAGTGAATTTGATTAGGATGGCAGGAGGTCGTCCGTGGTGTTGGGAGACCCTAATAAACGTAGGATGTATTTCTGCACCCCCTCTTTCCCAAACCAGAAACCCTTGCTTTGGGTCGGTATCTCCCCTGCCCAGGGAGGACAGCGTCCGAGCAGTAACCGAACCCCAGCTCCACGCTGGCATGGAGACTCAACAACAAACAGCCCGGCCCAGGCGCCTGCCCAGGGCGGCTTTCCGAGGAAACCCTCCTGAGAAGATGTTCTGGGAACGTTTTCCAGACATCAAGTCCCCACCTCCCACCAGCTCTGATATGTTTCTCCTGAATCCTTGGTGCAGAATATTCAGAACCAGGAAAACCAGAAAGAAAACTTGGACCAGAGGTTCCCCAGCCTGTTCAAGAAGGGTCGAAGGAAAACGGTTGTCAGGAACCTGGGGTCAATGATCTACTACTCCAAGGTCAAGTTTAAGTTTCAGCACTGCCAGGTAAGCTGCGGCACCCATCTGTGTGCATTTCTCTTCCCAGATGCGGAGGACTGGGAAGTAAAGTGTAATTCTGGGAAATGTGACTCACGGAGACTTCCTCGGGCTATGCGGGGCCCAGGGACTTCTCCTGCCACACGGTGCATGGGTACCAGCTGGCACCCACCGGCTCCCATCCCGGTGGGACCTGGGCCGTGCTTCCAGGCTCAGCTGTGGGGCTGGCAGCCGATCTGCCGACAGAAATGCAGTGGTGGCCCCTGGATAAGCGACCGCTGGCTGTTCTGTGCACAGACCAGTCTGAGCTGCAGCGGGGAGCTGGGAGAGGAAGGGATCTGGAAATAAACCCCAAAATGTGTCTTTTCTGCAGGAGGTGAATGACTGCTTCTTGGAGCTGTTCCAGTCTTACCTGTACTTCCAGTCTGTGGGCTCCAACGGACTCACCTACCAGGTAGGGCATCTCCTGGACATGCCAGGGCAGTCACTGGAGAGTCGGGCAGTATGGCCAAGCTGGGAGAACTGGGCGGATGGAACGGGACTGGGCAGGGGGCTTTGCTCCTGGGGCTGCCGCTGGCCTCCCCTAGGTGATCCCAACAAGTTGCTGCCTGTGGATGCCAAGCTCCTGGGGGATTTCTTACATTTTTCCAATTTTTTTCCCATTTTCCAAATTCTGTAGGCATTTCTTCCTCAGGATTGTAGCCAGACAACCTCAGTGCCAGCTGTGTCCTTGACCTTGTCTGTGGGGAGAGATAAAGGACCCCACAGAGGTGGGGTAGGGGCTTGTGCAGGGCTGGCAGGCAGGACCAGGGATGGGAGGTGTTTAGGCTACCTGGACTTTGTGTAGAGGACCAAGCACAGAGAGCTGCGCCCCGGTAAGGGTCAGAGCTCCTATTGCTCAAAATCCCACTGGGCTCAGTGCAAATGGTGGGCTTGGCCCTGGCTTCTGAACCAAGGGAGACTTCTTCATCTGCAGGGCGGAGAGAGAGGCATGTGGGAGAGGGTGGGAAGAAAAACCCGAGGGCAGCCTCGGGGAGCTATCCTGGCAAACCCTTCGTCAACCTTTTAACCTGATGGTGCTGGTGAATTGCAGACAACAGGCTGTTTCACACATGCAGCCAGAAAATCACAGCCGAGCAAAGAGGAAGCCCCGAACGCGCTCTCCCTCTGCGTCAGTGCGTAACTAAAGCTGAGCACGGCTGTTCTGTAGACAGTCATAAAATTCATTTCTTTTAGAAAGGTAACTTGAGGTTAATGCAGGATGCCAATATAATCTCGAATCATCCCGCAAGCCAGCCTTTGACTGCAAAGACACGTCAGAATACAAACAGTATTACAAAATCCCCCGTCTACTTTATAAGCAGTTCCTTGGATTGTTAATTCTGGAGGAATTGAAAAGGAATTCATGTGCCAGTACTGACCCTTAGAAATCACAGCAATTAGCAACTTTTACAGTCCTTGCTTAGAAAGCCCAAGACAGGGCGCGCACACTTGGCATCTGTTCCCGTGCTGCGTTATCGTCGGACTCTGATGAACCGGAGCGTAGAAACCGGACAGCTCGGTTTTGCTTTAGGGTCATTTCCATCTTCTGGCTTTCTTGTGTTAAATCAGCAATGTTCTTTTGAAGTTTTTCTTAAAACTGAAAGACGTGGATGGTAAAGAAGGTGTGCTTGCCAGCATGGCAGCTGGTCACTGCAGCGCGCTGGCCCCGTGGAGCCCAGGGAGCTGCTGGACCTCCCTCCTCAGGGGAGCATGCCGGCTCCAAGTCCCAAACGTTCCTCCTCAGAGCAACGGTTTGCAGTCCCACTGGGAGCCACAGCAGCCTGCTGGGGCCAGGTCCGGACTTCCAGTCTCCTACGCCACAGGGGCATTAATTGCAGAGCGTGCCCGCGGGCTGCCCCCCAAAATAATGCTGTGTTCTTCTTACGCAGGGGCTGCTGCCTTTGAAAGAGCTGAGCGTGTGTGCAGTGGAGAACGGGAAGAGCTCGGGGCAGGAGGATCACGCTTTCCGCGTCGCAGGTTGGTGCCTCTTTGTTTGCTTTGAAGAGAGAACAGCGGGTGTATGAATCACGACTGCCTCTGCTCTTTGTCCTGCTCTGACCTAGTCCCAGAGAAGGACCACGTTGTGGAAGCAGGTCGCAGAGAGCTGAAGCTCTTCCCTCCAGCATTTGCATCCTTCCCTCCAAGGGCTCCCTGCTCCTAAACCCCCGGGCAGCGATGCCCAGGGCTGCAGGCAGGAAGGGCACCGGGTAGGGAGCGCAGAGGAGGGATGGTCCCGTGCTCCAGCTGGTTACTCCTCGGGACACGTGGTGACAGTTCCACCGCTGCCCAGTCGTTTTCTCTTTGTGCCCCACATTTGAATGCAGGATTGGAATAAAACCCCATCTGCCACCACTGTATAAACGCCGAGGCCGGGGAGTGACTCTGAGCGGGCGCGTGCACAGCACGGTGCGTGCTGACGCGTGGCACTGCTCGAGCACACGCGGTGGGCAGCAGTGCCGAGACGCAAGTCACCTCTACCAGTAATGCCAGGCTGGTGCCAGCGGCACCCAGTGTCCCTTCAGCAGCTCCTCCCTCACCAGCACTCCTGCCTCCACAAGTTTTTTAGACTTTTCTCCGAGTGAGCTCGCTTTATAAGCATTTTCCTGGGATAACGACCTGTCTGCAGCATGGCCGGAGGCTGCTCTGGGCTTAGTTGTTGCTGAATTACAGAAGTTTCCAGCCCCCAAGAGTAGAAGTTAAAGTGTGAAGTGCACAGAAGTAAATAACCCAGTAATGATGCAGAGCCAGGAAAGCTCGTTTGTGTCCGAGGCCACTGTCTGTGTGCTCTGGTGTGCTCTGCTAGAAGGTTATACAACGGCCACTCAAACAAATCAATTACATCAATTATAAAAAGGAGCTGGTGCAAACGAGCCATCGCTTTTGTCAAGCCTGCTGAGTTGTGGTAGTTGTGGTCTTGTTGCACTGTCCTAGGCAGGGCTCTCCAACCCTCTCTGGGAGTCTGTAAGATGAAGGAAAACTTCTCCCAGGCGTAACCTGTCAGGGGCATCTGCGCTGGGGTGGGTGGACTTGTTCTGCTTGTATGAAAACACGCAGGAGTGTGGCTGGGTGGAAAATTGCCTCGAGCTTTGCGGGGTTTGTGTCCTGCTTAGGGACTGGATATGCTGTGTGTGTCAGGAAGCAAAGACTCAAAGAAACCAGGGAGGGAGCGATATTTAGGATTGCTGGGAGATCAGTGGAGCAGTTGTATTTTTCTGCTAGAGGAGGAGAAATCAAGGCACAGAGGGGGTAAGAGCCTTGTCCGTGGCCACACGGAGAGTCAGGGTGGAAGCCTTTTGTCTCATGACTGTGAGACACAGAAGACACAAACCCATACTCTTGTGAAATCCCGTGGTGTCGGTAGTTCCCCATGAACTGCACTTTCTAGGGTAGTTCAGCACATCAGAAGACGCCGGCACGATCACTGCAAGTGTGGAGGTGGAGCGTGAGAGCGAAGCCCGGCAGCGTGCGGAGCCGTCCCTCGGTGCGGTGGCACAGAGAAGGGCCATCGCCTTGGCTTTGTGGCCCATCTCTTGCACAGCCTCTGATGCTGATGAAGTTGTTGAGCACCTCGAGTTACCTCTGCCTCACCTGCAAACGTCGCAGCTTTTTAGTGTCTCCAGACAGAGGGATTTGGGTGGGAATAAGCTGCTGCTGCTGCGGGAAGGGGCTTTCTTGCTTCCTGTGTTCCTCTGGAGCATTCACAAGGAAAGAGGAAGGATGGGGCAGAAGGGAAGAGCACGAGGGCCGGCACAGGTTGCTCAGCATGGCTGTGTCATGGCCCTGCCACAAACATGCCCTTGGGGCAACTGAATTAGCAGCAGCCTTTCAGGCTCTGCTTCGCAGCCTCCCCGGCAGCTCCTTGCTCGAGCTGCAGGCACGTCTCAGGCTTCAGGCTGGGGCAGGAGTTTCTCTTCTCATTTTTCTCTTCCTTTGGGGCCCTGTTTAGATGTGGCAACGCAAACAGCCCTCGGGATATGTCTGAAAGGTTGGCCTTGGAGAAGGTGGCAGAGCAAGCAGGGCCGTGTTACGGGTCATGCCCTTCCAGAAGGATTCCCGACGTTTGTATAAGGGCCTGGATGCCCAGAGAAGTATTCAGAGCTGCCAGAATATCTGGATAATGTTAGCACCTTGATATAGAGGGGACTGGAACATCTCTCCTACAAGGAGAGGCTGAGGGAGCTGGGCTTGTTCAGCTTGGAGAAGAGAAGGCTGAGAGGGGACCTAATATCTACT